AATAAATAGTTAAAGTTACACTTTATGAAGTGCTGATATTTTACACCACTTTAAGTGTTAAAACATGAACACTGAGCATGTTGTTGCTACACCACTCATGTGGTGCATGGTGCACCAGAAAGTGTTTACCATTCAGAACACAGGTTATTTAATAATGTTAATTTATCACTGCACTGGAGTTAGCTGCCAACTTGAAAGGTGTGAACTGTTATGAACTCTCCTCTGGAGTTAATTACATGTGTGCTCATAACCTTAGTTGATTTCTAAGTCAATAGCATAGTCAAAGTAAGCTTTATTTAAGAAAACAGATATATTATTATTATTATTATTATTATTATAAATGATAATAATAATAAACCAATTTAAGAAATAAGTTATCAAATCAACACTAAACACTGTAATTTGCTGTGTACTAATCAAGTGTTATATTAACAATTTGTAATGCATAATAAACAATTCTAAATGCATATAATGCATTTTTCTAAATATTTATAGCCATATTCATGATGCCTTATGAACGCATTGTAACGTGTTATAAATGTGTTCCTAGATTCTTAAAGGTTCGGTATTCATAGAGAGTGTTACCAGTAAATAAAATCACAAAAACGTTATAAATGGAAAAAATGAAATACAATAAAAAAGAAGCGTACAGGCCCTTTAAAAGCAGCACTTCTCCTCCTCTCTTTCCTCTCCTCTGCCTCCTCCAGCTGCTGTGTGTACACATCCTGTTCAGCACTGCCATTTTGCTGGAGCTCTAAATGTTCCTCACACACTCACGCACATACACAGAGGACAGCGGGGCACAATGTACACGTTTTAGTTTTTACTAAATAATTTTAAAAGTATTTCAACAAGATTAATGATATTTTTATGCAAGTAACATACACACGTCTGCTACAAATGAAAGTGCAAACTTTGTTTCCAGCTCCTACTGTTTACTAACAGTTCAGCCGAGAACAGAGTGAGTGCAAACATTACAACTTAGCTCAGGGGTCGGCAACCCAAATGTTAAGAAGAGCCATTTTGTCCTATCAGCAAAAATCAAAACACATTGGCAGCCACAATATTTTATGTCTATTTTACCATCTTGGTTGTAAATATGTCTCAGTATGTGCTGATGAGTTAACAAATATAATATAAACAAAAACGCAAACTTACTTTGCTGTTTTAAGCTTTAGATCAGCTATAGCTGCTTCTCTCGCATCTCTGACAGGAAACTTTACCAAAAGTTGAACAGTTTCTTGTAAAATGTCTCTTAATGTTCGATTTTTTATGAGGCTGAAATCAGCTTCTCACTCGCCAGCTTCGTAAAAAAGCTAGGGTTAGATTAGAACAAGAGGTTGGTGAAAGAGAAGCTGCTTCATGACTTTTTAGTGTTTGACAGTATCAGAAATCTGATAAAGGAAACTGGATTTTAGCTCAGTAGTCAGATTTCTCAGTGCACGTAAACTCTTACTCTGATTTCTTTCGGATTTCTCAGTCTGCGCATGTGCGAAACAGACCAGAAATAAACAAGCAGCGTTGCCGCAAGATGCTGCAAAACACTTTTGGAGTGACGCTGAAACCAAACACGAAATAAAGGATTTAAATATTCTTTATCTTCTAGATGATGTATCTTAGTATTTTCAGGTAAAGTGGCGCGATTATTATTATTTTTTTTTTAAAGCCCCAGCATGAAGTTTACGTTTACGTCTTCTTCTGTGAGTTTATTGGCTGGTTGCAAAACAGAAACCTGATTACTGCCTGACTCAGGTAGACCTGGAGTTTCCCCATTATCTGATTACTCAAGAGCATGTAAAGATGTTGATCAGATTACTGACAAAATCTTGATTTTCTGCTGTTATCAGATTATGAAGTGCATGTTAACCCACTCAGTGACGTGTCTAGTTAGAGACAGAGTGTGTTGTTTTTTAACACGTCTGTTTTAAGAGTGTATGTGACATGACTGATGACGTCATGCAAAATTGTCTTTTTGTCTCAGAGCTGGCCCATAACTCACCTTTTTCCCTCTTTGCACCTCAAACTGTGTGTTTTAGTGAAACCCCACATGTGAGTCTGTACCAGCATCAAATTATTATAAAGTTCAGAACTTTATATTATTAACATTATTATTATTTTTTTTGTAAACAGTTGCAATCATTAAAATCTGGGGGGAGCTGAGGGGCCTCCACTTTCCCTTTCTCTGCATTAGGTTAGCTTTCACTCACTAGATTAGCTTTCACTCGTTAGGTCAGATTTTAGTTGTTAGGTTATCCTTCACTCGCTAGGTTAGCTTTCACTTGCTAAAAAAACACTAGTTACTAGTAGTAGTTTAATTACTGTAGTTCACTAAAGGGAACTGTGCAGGTATTATAGATTAGTGTAAGAGACTTTGCTAAAAGAATATTACATGAAGATGGAATTATCGTAAATTATTTAAAAAGTGTTACTTTTATTACTGTAACTTAAAAGTCTTAGAGTTTCTCACTGTAATGCTGCAGCTCTTACAGTGATTATACAAGCTTTACCCCAAAATTTACATCGAAAGAGGAGGTGATGTAAACGTAGACATTCACTAATTATTCACAGCTCCTACTTTGTGCACTGTGTGCCCTTAAGAGCAGCATTAACCTAATTAGAAGGCATAGATTTAGCTTCCCTGAGGTTTTAAGTAAAGATGGCACATATAATCCAGGGTGGCACACTGTGTGACAGGGTTTTTCCAAAATCAGGGTCAATTCTACAGCCGTAAGTTATGTGTGTGGGTGTTGAGCTGTGTGTTAGGCCAGGTTTAGGTGTAGTCATAGTGATATATTACTTTTGTAATGCAGAGTGAAATATTGTCTGTACTAGTATGTCGGTATTGGAGTCAGACGACGATGTGGAGTTTTTGGTTTTAGGGTTTTTATTGATAGATAACATTATTTTACTACAATGCATGTAAATCAGAAAATAATGTAAATCCAGTTCAACTTTTAACTGGACTTTAGACTTTTGCTTTTATATCATAATTATATTTATAATATTATATAAATAAAAATAAAAATTTTACATTTGAGCACTGCCAAAACCATAATCATAACACTACCAAAAATGTACTAAATGTTTCACAACACACAACAGCACAACACACACTAACACACCACCACCACGTCAGTGTCACTGCAGTGCTGAGAATGACCCACCACCCGAATAATACCTGTTCTGTGGGGGTCCTGTGGGGGTCCTGACCTCTGAAGAACAGGTTGATAAGTATGCAGAGAAACAGATTGACTACAGTCTGTAACTGTAGAACTACAAAGTGCTCCTATATGGTCAGTGGAGCTGATAAAATGGACATGTGTCATCAAGCTATTCATCTCTACCAATTTCATAAGTATGATATAGCAGTTTCTACTGATTCTGCTTTTTTAGCCAATTTTATTCAAAATTTTTATTTTTTGTGGTATTTTTATTTATTATTTTTATTGCTTTTATACCTTTTTTTTAAAACACTGCACTGTAAAGCCGCTTCAGACACAATTTATATGTATGGCAGATACAAACACTCTTATTATGTTTTGATGCCTTTGCTTGTATTGTTTAAAAATGTCCCTGAGCTAAACATGGTTTTGAATAGCTGTTTGTTTACTCTGCCTGAGCTCGTCCTCCAGCAAAAAATGTTGTACGTGACTGTAGTAACAGGTATTTTTGACGTTGAAGTTGACGTTGCTGAACGAGCCTATAGTTCTGCTTGAGTGACATTAGAGGCTGTGCATCTCAGTCAGTGGGATTTCATCAGAATATTGGGCCATACACACCATTCTTATCTAAGATCAGCAAATTCAGCTGCTTTTTAGCCAGTTTTATCATATTTATTCTGTTTTTGGTTTTTTCATTCAAACTTTGCTGGATGTTTAATATTACACTCATGTTTGGTGTCATAGTATGTTACACTGTATTCCCTTTAAAATCACATAATATTCCACATTACTCAGTGGATTGTTTACCTGGCTCAGCACCACGTCACGATAACCATCAGTAAACACTGCGGCGATCTTTTATTTGTTTTTAGCCATGCTCCATGTACATCTAGTTGACTGCATAGATAACATTGGTGTTACGGCAGTGATGCCTTTGCTTACAGTCACTCACAACGATCGTTAAATGGGGGCAAAAGTTTGTGCAATCTGCTTAAATCATGATGATACAAGTCAATTAGCAACACGTTATTAGCCATGCGGCGTACCACTTAGCACCTGGGGCAGCATAGCAAACACCTAGCAACACCTTAGCAATCGCCTGGGATACAATAGCAACCACTTTGCAACACTTTAGTAAGCACCTTAAATACCATAGTAACCACCTGGAAACACTCTATCAACCATCTGGGAGTTGATTAAGCTGTATAATCAGCCTGAATTGTCTTTAGGAAATGTCTTTTCTAGTGAAAGCTAATCTAGTGAGTGAAGCATAACCCAGTGAGTAAAAGCTAACCTAGCAAATTAAAGCTAAACGAGTGAGTCAAAGGTAACCTAGTGTGTCAAAGCTACCCAGGTAGCAGACAGTTTTGGGCCGACTCTGGCTTTCCTATGCGAGTGTTTGTTGACTACCAGGTAGATGTTACGTATGAATAGGGCCATATCCTGGACAACTTCGTACCATTTTGCCTCATGTCTACCTTTGTAGGACAATTCTGGCATGAATATTGTGGACCGAATTTGTAGTTGGGCCAGATTGGGACCACAATCGGGCCATACCCGATAGTTCTACTCACTTTACAGTGTTTGGGCCAGATCTGGGCTGAGGACCCAGCCGTGTACTGGGCCAGAACAAACCAAGGATGTGGCCCACAAGTGAGCCAGACAAATTTTGGGTAACTGGGTAACCTAGCAAGTAATGGGAGAGAGTGAAAGATAGAGAGTGAAAGCTAATCTAGTGAGTGGAAATTAACCTTGTGAGCTAACTTTGTGAGTGAAAGCTAACTTTGTGAGTGAAAGCTAATCTAGCAAGTCATTAACCAGCTTTTTTTTTTAACCCAGTTCCTCATGTCCTGAAGACGTGTGCGGAATTTATAGAGGAGCATGGCATTGTGGACGGAATCTACAGACTCTCAGGAATCACCTCAAACATCCAACGTCTCAGGTAAGCAGTCACTAAAGTCAAACAGCTTTCCAGACTCAATCAGGACTAAATTTATACCCACTAGATTCCTATGTGACCACTTTTACAAATGTATCGCAAATTCAATGCTTTTTTTCCACACTATACCCTGGTAAACTATTCAATACTCCTATATTTAATACTTTTAACTCTAAAGTCGGTGTCATGACCATATTACACTGAAAAAATGGGACCATGGCAAATGATATTATCTGAAATCTAATCTGTGTACATTTGTATATCAAATGTTTGAACACTCTCTGGTGAAATTCCATACTTTCGAAGTGAAAATAAGAAGACACTTAAATATCACATTTATCTTCAGTTTGTAGTGCACAATTTCTGTTTTTTGCTGAGGTTATCATATTGGAATATATATATAAAATTTAGAATGTGCCATAACTTTTGCGCAGGCTATATTTCATGTTTCATTTAACTAAAATGCTAAATTCAGTAAATAAACAGTAAATGTGCGTTAAAACGTGCAGAAGTGTGTTCACTGTAGAGGATGCGCTAACTTACTTTCTTTCACTTCGAAAGCCAACAAAAACATGGAATTTGACCGGGACGGCCAAACATTTGGGTACGACTGTATGTGATGTGATGGTAATTGAGGGCATAAATTGGTAGCATGGCTTGTTTATGTGTTTGCAGACAGGAGTTCAGCTCCGAGCTGTGTCCTGACCTTACTAAGGAAGTGTATCTCCAGGATATCCACTGCGTCGGCTCCTTATGTAAGCTCTACTTCAGGGAACTGCCCAACCCACTGCTGACCTACGAACTCTACAAGAAATTCACAGTGAGTGAGCCGTGGGTGGGAGTTTGGTTAATGAGAAGCATTCAGGAGATACAAACAAATGCAGGTTTCCAAAAGCTAACTGTTCAAATCATGATGGAGGTCGTATTTTGCCAGGTATGACACACATAATCATTAATCCTCTCTGCTAACAGTTGAAACCTGCTTAGACTGTTCACAGTCAGTGACGTATCTAGAACTTTCAGACAGTCTTTTTGGCCTTTGGCCCCTCACTGGCCCCTGAAAACAGAAAGTTTGGGCACCACTGTTAAAGTAGTATGTTAGCGCTAAACTAACAGCAATTCACATGATATATGTTTATTGGGGGTTCTAGATTAATCACAAATGTTTATAGCTTGTAAAAGACATTCTACATATTTTATCTGAAGCTTAAAGCACATATTAACATGTATTTGAGATTGTATCAGTTTTACAGTGACTCAGCAAAGAGCTGAAATCTGATTCGGCTCATGTTCGCAGTCAGTGATGTATCTAGAACCTCAACAGGGCCTAGAGCGAAGTCTTTTTCACAAAATTGGTCCTGTTTTAAATGAAATCATGATTGCTTGATTCTGTCACTTCCTAGTTAAGCCGGTAGTTATTCTAACGTGTAAGGCCTTCAGTCCAGCTTCTGAAGTCCTAACCAATGGGAGAGCTCGATCAGCTGTATCTGCCTACATACCACAGAGAAAGCAATCCTGATTGGGCAATTATCTGTTGGACATTTCAAGATTTTGTTTCCAACCAGAACTTAACATTGGAATAAGTGTATTACCACTACATTTACAGATGTTAAATACAACAAGCATGATTATATGATTGTATAAAGCCTGAAATGTGCATATTGTATAAATATTAGATATTACAGACATATATATCATTTTCTAGTTCCCACAATTCATTAGGCCTGGGGAACTGAGGACTAGAGTCCTGCACAGTTTGATGATTTCCCCGCTCTAGCAGACTAAACTAAACAGGAAAATCACCAAACTGTGCAGGAATCAAGCCCTCCAGGACTGGCGTCCCCTCCCCTGGCCTAGAAGGTCCTGAAGGGTCCCCTCTGTCCATGGCAGAATGTGTAGGTGATTCATTTATGGAGGCTGCCTTAGCGCATTTCTTGTCCTCTGCTGTAGCAAGAGGAACAAAACATTTGAACAAGCACTTGGAGTGAAAGAACTTTTCAAAATGTATGTAAAGATGTTTTTCCAATGCAAGGTAAACAATAAAGTCAACACAAACACTGACACTCGAGAAAAGTAGAACTATTCCAAAATCTACTCAAGTATGTGTTTCTATTTTGTTACTATACGTCTCAGACTGTGGTGGTATTATGAGTATTATTACAGTTGTATGCAAATACTTGGGCACCGCAGGTTAAATTCCATATTTTGTTGATATTCTAAGTGAAAATAAGTGTTCACACTTTTTAAGGTTCCTTATGGATAATTGCCAGACATTTAACCCCTTAAAATCTCAAGTTTATTGCATACTTAGGCTTATTATCCAGTAACTACAGGGACTTCAATGCAATCTGGTTGAGCTTAGATTCTAAAAGTGAGTAATGAAGCTCTGGGCCTGCCGACGGGCCCTGGCTAATTCAGAGGTTAAATTATTAACAAACTTTCTGGTGGTACACCAACATTTTGATGAGGGTTAGGTTTAGGAGTAGGTGTGGGTTTGTGTTGAGGTTAAGGTTAGGGTTAGATTTAGGGTTAAATTTAACAAAATCACGCTGAAGTTTAGGATCAGTTGCATTTAATATATATTTAGTTGAATGTTTCTTAAAGGCAGACTGAGCATCTACATTGGACCATCAAAATAAGGTTTTAAAACAAATTCTCCAAAGAGAACACACCTCTGCACATTTTTGATGCACACTTACTGCTTATTTATTGAATTTTACATATCTGAAAAAAATTAAATCAAATGTGCAAAAGTTATAAATTTCATTTTTCCAGTCAAATCTGGCAAATAAATAGAAATTGTGCACTGAAGTTTGCAGAAAATGCCATATTTAAGTGTGTTCTCTGTAGTGGTGTGTTCACTTATTTACACTTACAAAATCAACAAAGCATGGAATTTGACCGGGGGTAGACAAACCTTTGCACACAGCTGGAATAAGTGTATCGCATAAATTCCTTATGCATCATGTAAAACACTAGGAGCCGTTCCTGGATATTGGTCTTGGACTAATGTCATTGGTAATTCACCACTGAAAAGTCTTTTTAGTCCAAGCTTAAGCCTAATCTAGGTATGGAATCAAATATTGCTGGGCAATATGTCACAATATATCATTATTGTGATAAAATATGTCACAAAACAATACACTTTTATGAGCATATAGTTTATATTGTCAGAACTTAGGGAACACTGACCAATTGCATGTTATAAAGAGAACAGAATTAGTCCTGTTTAACTGGATCCAACTGATCAAATGTCTGAAAAAATAAATATTGTGACATACCGGGTATCGTGAAAAATTCTTGAAGTATTGCAGTGTTATATTTTGGCCATATCACCCACCTCTAGAAACAACCCCATAGGTTATGTCTCCATCTCTGTTTCTCCATGCAGGACGCTGTGTCGGTCAAAGAGGAACATGAACAGCTCCAGAACATTCAGAGTGTCATTAAAGAGCTTCCTGACTCCCACTTCAGGTAAACCAGTGCTTCTCTCTGTTGAGCTTCTCTTAAACAAGTCAGAGCTGTTGTTTTCTGGATTATTTGGTTACCCAGCCGGTGAGCTTTTACAGTGTGGACTAGGAAAGGTCCACATCTTGTCACAGAAGTCACCACTGAATCATTATTCATTACACATTTGTATGCTGGTGGTGATAGGAACCAGGGGTCACCACGTCTACAGCAACCACCAGTGAACCTACACGAGTCTGCGTTTTATAAGGAATGTTAATGATGATGATAAATCTAAAAAAAAAAAAGTTTTCTTTGAGGACTATTTTGACTCACAACGCCCTGTATGTACCCCTTCACCATAAATGGATGTGTCTCAGGCATCAGGCAGCACATTCATAATAAACTCTTCAGACGTCTGGTTCCTATCACCACCACTGTGAACAATTCTGACTCAGTAAGTTTCTCTAGAACAGAGCATCTCACACCAAACCACTCTGACTCTGTTCACATCTTAACCAGTTTATATACCCAGACATTTTGAAAAATCAATGGATTTCCCCTTTAATAAACACTGTTGTTGACGCACTACCTTTATTTCCTTTGCCTTTTTATTCTCAGAACTCTGGAGTACCTGGCGAAGCACCTGACTCACCTGGCCACTCTTAGCCACCACACCAACATGCACACCCGCAACCTGGCCTTGGTGTGGGCACCAAACCTGCTCAGGTCAGCAAAACACCTACCTGAGAGAGATATATATACTGATATATTTATATACCTGGGCGGAAAAAATAATATATTAGTAGATACAGTACAGTAAAAAGAAACAAGAATTTCTTATTTTAAAAAAGGAGATGATATCATGTGAGCTAGTTTTAAGGACACAGGTTTGGTTCTAAATTTCTCCTGGACACTCCCAGGCATCGCATGGATTTATTAAATTCCATCAGCAGCAACTGATTTAATTCAACCCTTGTGTGGTGTTGATGTGTTTGTTACTCAGTGGTCTGTTTATGTAAAAATACCAGATGTTTAAAATATCACAAGTGGCCAGCGCAGGGTTCTCGTTTAGCAGCTGTAGCCAGTCAGCAGCCTGTCCATGTTGTCCACCCTCACACACACACACATATATATACAAACACGTACAGACATACACACAGAGACACACATTAACAGCAGGCCATGTAGGAGGAGAACAGAGTGAAAGACACAGCACCTCCACACTTTTACTCCCTGTGGGTTCACCCCAACACCACATGTGTAATATAAATGTGTGGAGTCACTGAAAATGAGCAAAGGCCAAGAAATCTGAGGTTGTAATAATAATTTTTTTTTGGTAAACATTGAAAATGGGCCCCACAGACCCCAAAACCACACAAGGGTTAAGGCAGCGTTGATCAGATGAAGCAGGTTGGACAATAACTACAAATATTACTGGGCTTTGTGGAGGTTGGATGTTTAAATAGTTAAATAAACACACTGATATACATAAAATCCTACTTAATGTGATAATGTTAGTAGTATTTATTCTAATGTTAATGAAAAAAACTGCCCAGTTACATTTAAAAATAGATCAAATTTTCTTGGTTGCTTAGCCCCTTAAATGGCCAGTGTTCACCAATGGGCCCAAAGTTTTAATACACACTCCTATAGCCTAAGAATAGCTCAACCAATTTGCATTAAAGTCCCTGTAGTTACTGAATAATAAGTCTTAGTCTGTAATACGCCAGAAAACGTCAGGGTTTAAAACCTTTTCTCAGTGCTTTATATATATTTCAGTCACACTTTATTTGGACAGTCTGCTATAGATACTCTACAGATACATAAATCATTATCAGGTTTTGCCTTGAGGTTAGGTTTAGGGTTAGGGTTAAGTTTAAGTTTAGGGTTAGATTTAATAGAATCTTCCACACTCAGCTTCAAGTTCAGTTGCATTTAATCGATATTTAGTTGAATGTTACTTAAAGATATACTGAGCATCTACAAATCATCTGCAGTGGACCTTCCAAATAAAGTGTTACCTATATTTCAACTCAAAATAAATGGAAAATAAATAAATAAATAAAACAATAAATATACAAATATATGATAAGATTTAATTTTTTTTCTTTATTACTGTCACTATTATTCTAGCGATTATTAGTCATACTTCTTATGCTTCTATTTATTTTTATTTGTGTTGATAATTATTACAATAATAATAGCAATAATTCATATGACGATGTATCTATTAACTGGCATCACAAACAAAGAACTCATGTAAGCCAACAATGATGAAAATTAAACACAGAATTCTGAGGTGTAACGGTGGTGTAGCCCATTCGCGGTACAGACTCTGTATTGCCGTGTTGTTTCGCAGGTCTAAGGAGATCGAGGTGTCCTCCTGTAACGGTGACGAGGCGTTTCTGGAGGTGCGTGTGCAGCAGTCGGTGGTGGAGTTCATCCTGAACCACACGGAGCAGATCTTCAACCCCGGAGACGCGCCGCACAAGCCTAAAGAAGGTCAAACATCTATACTTTCTCTTCACATTGTGCTTAAAACCAGGAATGTTTTGTCTTAAGCTGTACATTTTTATTAATTTGATTATATTTGATCAGTTCCTATACACTCATTTGCTGAGACATTTTATTAACATAAATTCTTTTCATAAATGATCATATTTAATTACATTTTTCACAAAGATCCTTCCAGATTTCACAGTTTGTCACAAGGACTTTTATCATCATAAGCCGAATATCACTGCTGTCCAAAAAAATTTTTTTTTCTTTCTTTTTTTTTTTAATCATTTGAGCACAGCAGCTGCCCATCACATTGCATGAACATTTCATGATGAATGGATCAACATAAAAACTCCAAAACTGCTTGGAATAAAACCTCTTTTACATTGACTTACAATAACATTTAAGAACGATTTGCCTTCTCTTGAAAACTTAGATTGACATCTTGTACATCTTCTATCCGTCTTGTATAACCTGGAAAAAAAAATTATATATATATATATATATATGTATATATATATATATATATATATATATATATCGCTGTTGTCGGAAGAAAACAGTTCCTTCCGCTAAATTATAGTTCTTTAACAAACAGCTTGTAGCTACGTCAGAGTAACGAACTCCACTCACTCGTTCAGTCGGCAGCTGTGACAGAAGAACACCTAAACACCCTGAATTAGCCAGAAATGAATCAGATACCATTCGCCAAACATGTGGTCTGATCTTCAGAGTCTGACCAAATCGGACTGAGCCATAAAACTGCTGCAATATCAAGCTTAGCTCAGTTTTGTCAATATTAATGTTGTTTTGTTCCAGCCAGTCTGTAAAGCATCTTACAGCCCATTTTGTTTGGCGAATGGTGTTCAGTTTTTAGTGTAGTCTCATCTTCAGAGTCTGACCAAATCGGCTGTCGGTCAAATGTGATCTTAAAAGTATCCATTTTCAAAGTAAGAAGTAAAAACGTTCAAATGGCTTGAGCGTCTCCTACAGCTGTCAAAGTCGTTGCTTAGTAACGGCATCTAAGCGGAGTGACACAGTGTTTGTGAAAAAAACGGTTAGAATGCTTCTCGACCAATCAGCTTGCGTGGCCTAACTAACTGTTGTGTGTATATATGATATGTATGTATATAAAATCTATCCCCTGTGCATGAAAATTTCATGATGAATGGACCAACATAAAATCTCCAAAACTGCTTGGAATAAAACCTCTTTTACATTAACTTACAGTAGCATTTAAGAACCTTCTTGCCTTCTCCTGAAAAGCTGTCATTTTGGAAACACTTGTGGGTTTATTTTTGGACAGCCATGATATGAGAGATTGTGATATTGCTTACAAACATATTAGACAAATTCAACTCTCTTCTACAGCATTATTATTTCTTATGTATAATGTTCTGGGCATGAATTTAAGGAGTTACAATTCCCCCTTGCTTCAACTTCAAGTGACCAGGTGACCAGTTTATTGTTGTAAAAGCATAAAGCGGCCTTTAATTCAGCTCACCTGCTGCAATTGTCCTGCTAAAAGAAAAGGGCTCTTTGGGGAGGAGGCCTGAATACAATGACATGAGAACTGAAGCCAAAAATATAACGTAAGAACAATGGGCAGAGGTCCAGCACGAAGCAAACAGGTAACGGCTGCATATGAGCAATTGTATGCAAGCTTGTCTTACAACAGACTCTGCAGCGGCTTAACTGATCTATTGAATTAACATATGGCAAGTGAGCTCGTACAGCAATCTGCAAAGGTCATCCATTCATTTCATATGTAAAGCTACATTTAACTGTCGCTGAGAATGAAAACAAAGCCTTTGAGTAAATGTGTATTTCTTGCTAATTTCCTATGATTCTCTAATTCAAATTCTGCAAAATATGGTAGCATGTCACTGTCAGGGGTAAATAGAGTGAAACCTGCAGAATGATATATATAATATGAGACACACTGGTATGGCTGTGTTATCTCCAGCCTTACTGCAACCAACACAGGGCCTTGGTAGTGCCTGTTTTTAAAGTTTATACTTTGTGTGGTGCTATTTTAAAGGGCAACTCCATCGATTTGTCAAACTTTCTGAATTATTAAATGGTTAAGATGTGAACAGAGTCGTTCAGAGTGGTTTGGTGTGAAATGCTCTGTTCTAGAGAAACTTAAGAGTCAGAATTGTTCACAGTGGTGGTGATAGGAACCAGACGTCCACCTCTAAAAGCTCCCTCAAAAATTGTAGGCTTTTCTGTCAAAAAGAAGTTCTCTATCACATTCCAACACAGTGCTATGTCAAATTGGATCTGTTTCTTTTGTTTATCAACATTTTGTATTATCCTTCAGTCTCTAGTGTTGTTTATTCCTACTTATTGGTAATTTAATTTAAAACATAAAACATAGAATAAGTAGCAGTATTTAAAGGGCAGCATGTTACTATATATATATATATATATATATATATATAATATATATATATATATATATATATATATATATATAGTAACATGCTGCCCTTTAAATACTGCTACTTATTCTATATTGTGTATGCTAGATATTGCTGTTGTCGGAAGAAAACCTTGTACCTCCAAAATGACTTTATGGCGAAATGAAAACACCTACTTTACATTTAAAGTCAATGAGACCAGACTTTTTTTCCAAGTCATTTTGGGGTCATTTCTTTTTTTTGTCCATTCATCATGAAATTTACACACAATGTAAAGAGCAACAGGTATTTTCAAATTATGCCAAAAACTGAAAAACGACAAAAATGGAGATATGAGTTTTTTTTTCTGACAGCAACGATATATATATATATATATATATATATATATATATATATATATATAGTATTCTATCCCCAGTGTACCTTGCACACTCACTAATTGCATATATGTAAATGTGTACTACTGTACATATCATACCTTTTATTTCATAACCTATATTACTGTTACAAAAACTGTACTTTGGAAATGGTGCAGTACTGGTGCATATTAATGTGTATATTAAGAGTCTAGTGTGTATATATTTTTTAAAATACTTTTATTTTTGTATTTAAGTGCTACAAAGGGGGGTACACACCTAAGATCACTCACCTTCATACCCGTGTAAATGTGATGTGACAATAAATGTGATTTGATTTGATTTGGCAGTTGAGTTCAGCCAACACACCTTTGTTGTCCACAGTTTGCATTCAGTTTTTGCACTGGAGCTACGAGGCTAATGTAGCTAATGTAGTAAGCTTATTAGCACAAATTAGCATCATGCTAAGTGCAAGTCCTCACCAGTTACCTCAAACCGTGTGGAGCTGTTCAGTATCTCTAATAGACTTGATTATGTGGTTTCTGTCACTGTTTGACTCACTGTTCTCTATAAACATGGACTAAAGTACTTCAGCATAGCTAAAAACAGTAGCAGCCGCCATCTTGAGGCCTGAAATTTGCCTGTACTTTTGGTCCATGTTTAAAAATAACAGTGCACTCTTATTAGCATCTTAAAAAGATGCTTCTTTAAGAGATCTTTAGTGAAGGAAATGGATTCATTTTAGAACCATGAGTTCTATATAGAACCATTTCATGCCCAAATGGTTGTCTCATAGCTACAGTGCTAAAACTAAAGAAGCTTCAGACACCAAACTTGTCTTGGCTGACTGATTGTGGTAAAGAAGGGGGGAACTGTGCAAATGAGATGTTTTTGCCAAAAATATTGCTGTAAAATGATCTCAGTGCTGCAATACTATTGTGGAACCAGAGGCTGGATAATGAAATATGCCTTTTTTCTTAGCTGCATGCTTAAGAAACGAAGCAGCATAAATTATTCGTCTTCCAAAAACGTCTTAAAGGGGAACTCCGCCTGTGTTTAAAAAAATCTGCATAATTTAATGGTTAAGATGTAAACAGAGTCATTCAGAGCGGTTTGGTTCAAAATGCTTTGTTCTAGAGAACTTAGTAAATCAGAATTGTTCACAGTGTTGGTGATAGGAACCAGACGTCTGAAGAGTTTGAGGCCTCTAAAAGCTACAAAAAGTTATTACATTAAATGGTTATGAATACTCAGCCTGATGTCTGAGACATTGTTTTACAGCAGTTCTGAGACAAGTTTTGGCCTAAAACGTATTTTAATCATTTTATTCTAATCTGTTCATGGTGGAGGGATACATTAAGGGTGTTCTAAGGCAAAATAGTTCCCAAAGAAAACTCTTTTTTCCAGATTTTCCACTATTTTACCACCATCAACATTACACATAAAAGTCACACGTGTAGGTTCACTGGTGGTTTTGGACAGTAAATAAAATGTCTTTTTATATGTACATATGTATATATGTATATGTATTTTTATAGTTGTAGTCATGGTGACCCCTGGTTCCTATCACCACCACTGTAAAGACATCTGAACTATTTCACACCAAACCACTCTGAGGACTCTGATTACATCTCTAAAACTAAATTATGCTGGAATTTAAAAAAATTGGTGGAATCCCCCTTTACCAGGGCTGGTGATCTTAAGTTCATCAGCAAGTTTCTCTACAAATGAACCATTTTGCATCAAACCACTCTGAATGATGTTGTTTACATTTCAACCACTTAATTATGCAGAAAAATTGGTGGAATTCCCCTTTAAGAATTTTCTTAATTTTTTCTGAACTTTTCTCTTAAGAACAATTATAAGTGGTTTGACAAGACTCTTCAAACTCTTATGGGTTTCATAACATATAACTGTTAAAATAAACCAAGAGGGACTTCCTGTTGGCTGTTTCCTCTGCCATCACATCTACTTCTTGTTTGCTCATTTTTTTTTTGTTTGAATGTTTGGTTTGATTTTGTTCTTCATTTCAGTCCATCAGTCTTCTGGCGCTGATGTGATCAAATTGAATAACCAGTTAACAGAAAGATGGCTATAATTTCTGCTAATCTGTAAAATGTAATCTTTTATTGATAGTCTACATGATGAATAACCTACAGCCTGCATACAAAAACAATTTCCGAATTTCTCCTGAAATTTTATTTTCCGAAGAAAACGAAAAAGACTTTCTTAAAAGAACATTTGAGAAGTTTTTTTCAGTGTTCTTATGGGGTTCTTAGTGTTTGTATTAAGATCTCTCAAGTGTTTTCTTAAAAAAGCTTTTGTGAATCCTGCCCAGGTTCTGAATGTTGAGGTGGACTGTGTGAGTTGTATATTTGACTCTGGTTGGTGTTTGTGTGTTTGCAGGTCCAGGAGTGACGTGTGGGGAGAAGTACGCCACCCTGCCTGCGAGTACTCAGTGTGGGCCGATGAAGCTGATGAGTCTGGAGGAAGCTCAGGCTCGATCGCTCAGCCCAAACCACCCGGCACGGAGAGAGCGGCAGAGAGAGAACAGCCTGCCGGACACCAGCACGGCCGCCATGTACCACACCGTCATCGACCTCGCTGAGAACAAGTGGGCCACTCAGACTCACACACGCTGAAATATTTCACATACACACTCAAACTGATTTTAACTGACAAACACAAATACACACACACTCAGTAAATCTCGCAAACTCATCATTTACATCATACAAATATATATATATATATATATATATATATATATATATATAAATAGTTTGCATAGTACTACATAAGACTAAAAAGGTTCTGTAATTTAGAGATGCACTTCAGTTTTACACTGACTCATGCAAATATGTGTCTCAGCATCTCCATTAACAGTACAAGGATCTTTTTATGACTTGGCGGTCATAGTTGTGCACATGTCAAGTATTTTACAGCAGCTTTGAACACAACTTAGCCATTTAGATTTTAGGACCAGGACTGTTGCACCGGTTTTGAGTAAGTTTGTACTTAAGTTTGTGTGTAAAGTCTTTACTAAGTCCTCAATGAACACTAGTTAATTACAAAATTTGCGCCACAAATTCTTTAGTCATATCTTGACTAGTAACATCTAATGTGTATGTCGCTTTAGCATGACGATAACATGATCAGAACCAATCTACACTGCGAGAAATAAAGGTTCTGTTCAGATACATTTTTCATTCATCAAGGTACAAACAATGTAAATGTTCCCTCAAAGGTACAACAGTGGTTTTAAGGTCCAGCTGTGTACCTTAAATACGTTTTCCCAGGTGAAAAGTGTGCATTCATAAACAAATGTTTTAAAACAGAACAATAAAATAAAAAGAAGACGAGATGAGGTGTGTGGAGTCGGTACAACTTAGAAAATATCATTTCAGTGGATTGTGGTACAGTTATGTTCCCTGACTAAAGGTACTGAGATTCCCTTGAGGGAACCACCCCAGTGACAAGAGGGGCACTGCCCCAGTGACAGCTTACCACCTTAATTTCTGAGAGTGTATAGACCCGATGCCCTGGGAACATGACAGCAGCGACACTGACTCTTTCCATGGAAAAATATCCAGTATAGAAGAGAACAAAAACCGAACACTTGTAGCTGTCATCTGTTTATTATTTGATATTTCCATGAGACAACCAAATACGCAGCTTCATTAAACAAGTTTCTGGCTAAATGCAGCACAACAAAGTCTCACTGATCTGAAGCTGTGGATGTTTTTGGTGTTTTATGTGCTTAACATGTGGTTTTAACATTATTTAACGTTTTAGCTCAACATTAAAAGCTAGTGCGGTGAAAGCTTTTTTGATTTAGTAATGCATAAACAATTACAGTAGAACTAGCCTACGTTTGAACTTACGTATAGCTGGTGCAACCGGCCCCTGAACTGACTTAACTGTTTAATAAAAAACATTATTATTGATTATAACACTGCAGATTTGGTGCAGTTGAATCTTCACGTTTAGATGCATTTATACAGCCATAACACATACAGCTGTAACACAACAGCAAATTTAGGGGGGGTGGAGTTGACTTATCTTTTTGAAATTATATATTTAGATATAACTACACATTTTGGTGCCCATTTAATCTTTTGAATTGCTGTATATAAGCTATAGCCTGCTGCATCCCTGCCTAACACACCCGCACACAGAAAACACACACACCTACACACACTCACACACCCTAAAATACATAGAAAAGCACCAGCATGCTATTTTGCTCTGGTGTAAATTTGTACAGCAGTGAGGCCACTCCACCTTTTTCTGTACAAGTACGTCTAATTTAACATAATCCTATAGCTACACCCGAGGATATACATGTACATGCCCTCCTCCCACTAACCTCCACACAACACACGCACACACATACACGGATACTGGGTTAATATTTACATACGAGAGGTCATCATCTACAACACAGAGATACTCTATAATCTCTGAAATCAAATCATACATACACATTTATAGCCTCACTGAAATAAGTTATGTGTGTAATATAGTTAATATAGTTAGTTTTGATGTAAAATCCTCTTCACGTTTTGTCTTTTAAGACATGGCATGTGTGATGTTTTTATGTTTGGCTGGGAAGATGATCTGTAAATCTTCACAACAGGAGAAAATTCTCTGGGAAGTCGAAGAAGTGGAAGGCCATCTTTAGCCTGGGCCGATCCGTCACTGACGCCAAAGGGAAACTGAGTCGCAATGGGAGTGTATTCATGAGAGCACAAAACATCTCAGGTACAGTGTGTGTGTGTTGTGTGTGTGTGTGTGTGTGTGTGTGTGTGTTGTGCGTGTGTGTTGTGTGTGTGTGTGTGTGTGTGTGTGTTGTGTGTTGTGTGTGCGTGTGTGTGTGTGTTATCAGCAACTGTGGAAACTGCTTAAACTCTAAAGGTCTGTTTGTGGACCACATTTTTGTTCCTCACTCATAACTACAGAATTTACACATTAGTTTCATAGTAATAACTGAATAGTTTACAGTAGATGATGAACAAATTATAGCAGTCACTGAATAATCCATAGTAGTTATTGAATGAATGATAATAGTTGCTGAATAATTCACAGTAAATACTGAATAATTAATAGTAGTTACTAAATAAATGATAGTAGTTGCTGAATAATTCATAATAGATGTTGAATAATTAATAACAGTCACTGAATAAATTTTATTAGTTGCTGAATAACTCATAGTAGATGCTGAATAGATTAATTGCTGAATATTCATAGTAGATGTTCAGTAATTAATAGTAGTTACTGAATAAATTATATTAGTTGCTGAATAATTCATAATAGTTTTAATAATTAATAGCAGTCACTGAATAAATTATAGTAGTTGATGAATAATTCATAGTAGATGCTGAATAATTCATAGTAGTTACCGAATAAATTATAGTAGTTACTGAATAATTCATAGTAGATGTTGAATAATTAATAGCAGTTGCTAAATTAATTATAGAAGTTGCTCAAAAATGAATAGAAGATGCTGAATAAATAATAGTAGTTACTGAATAATTCATAGTAGATGCTGAATAATTAATAGTAGTTACTGAATAATTCACAGTAGATACTGAATAATTCATAGCAACTACAGAAAAATTCTTAGTAGATGCTAAATAATTCCTAGTGTTTACCGAAACATTAATAGTAAATGCTAAATAATTCGTAGTAATTACTGAACAATTCATAATAATTACTAAATAATTCATAATGATTACTGAATTATTCGTAGTAGATACCTAATAATGCATATTTGTTTCTGATTAATTCATTATTATATGCTTAATAATTCACTGTAAGTACTAAATAACTTGCAGTAGTTACTGAGGAATTCTTAATGGTTATTGAATCATTCACAGCCACTGATTAATTCACAGATACTGAACTCTAACTGGAGTATAAATGTATAAATCCATATTTATCCTGCACAAGAGGTCTTGTTATGGATTTATTATCCTGCCCATCCTTTTGCTTTAAAATAGAGATGCTTAACATACCGTAACAGACCTATTGGCTCAACCTGTATTACAATCAAACATAATAAGTTTTTATTAATGTAGACTTTACTTGACCTCTGCCTTTTTATGAGTGGTTTAGTCCTTCAGCTATTTCAGTGTAACCAAACAGGCTCTCTGCAAGCACACTAAATGCAGGTGAATGTGCAGTGTGGTATTAACTGAAATTCAGGGTCATTTTATATAGAAAAATGCAGGCACTTTGCAGAATACAATAAATAACACTGAACTTCATGGGTACATTAATTAAACCATGCCAGCTATAGAATTTAATAGCAATAGCATTAAGTGTGTAATAATTCTTACAATTATAGCATTATTTTAGAGACAGTTTTGCTCCTGTTTTGAGGTTATACGGGGTGATTTACTTCACCTTGACAGCAGCGAAGGTTACAGTGAGTGACCTCTATGAAACAATGAAGCACTGCAGAGCAATAGAGGATTTGAATGGCCCCACTTAGTAATAAATATATGTTTTGTGGTCCATGTGTGTTCTCTGTGAAAGGGAGATAGATACTGCGCACAGAAATGAGTGAAAGAAAAAGAAAACAGGCATAAAAGGCAGCGTAGTGGAGATATGAATCATTTTATCCTCTTCAGCCTAAACAAAATTTCAGGGGAAAAAAAAATATATATATATATATATATGTGGTGAGAATTTGTGGGCCTTGTGAGTCAGAGCGCTGTGAGACTTTCCATTACTAAAATGGACTCGGAGTGCGTTTTCTGTTAATGGTCTCTGAAAAAAATCTAATAAGATGTGCGGTCACACATCATTAGCGAATGCATAATGTGTAATTTGACATGGTGTTAAGCAGATGTGTTTTTGAAACGTAAAACTGTATTTATTTTTTTTTGCCTCCACAGAAAAGACTGGGATACGACCGTCAAAGAGCATGGATTCCCTCTGCTCTCTGCCAACAGGTGGGGCTACAGAGCCATAAACCAGCTGATCACTGAGCCCCACTCTATCAGTGCTGAGTGTCAGGCAGACAAATGGAGTGTGTATTTAACCTGCTGTGCTAAATACAGGCTCCATTATGCACGTATTGAAATATTTGATTGTGCATATGTTATTGAAAAATCACAGAATTCACAATGCATTAATGTTTAACTAACATCTGTGCAGTGGTATATCCCCATTTTATCCTTAAAGTCTCCAGTGAAAAGCCTCTTTATTAATAGACCTGTGTATGTTCCATTCAGCCTTTAAAAGTCAGCATTAATGGTGAATCATAACTCAATTTCCTTTTGTACCGTGATGTAATCGCGAGTGAAACACGGCATCACGGAGGTTACCATTATTTTCCCCGCCTGCTTGTGTGACGTAATCAATAAATTATGGTGTTTTTGAGGCGAAGACAAGATATTTTGATCAAACATTATGAAAAAAAAAGAATTTATATGATATGACATGGTGAATCATGCTTGATATGACCAGGAACATGAAAAAAAGGTTTTTCACATCAGGTTGATTTTATAGTATTGATATTAAAAAGCAGTACCGTATTTTGTACCAAGATTTTCCAGGCACAGTAGATCTACACAGAAATGAAGTTTTACAGAAGGTTGTATTCAGCAGGCCTTTTTAAAATGTATATAGCAAACGTTCAAAGTGTCGCTGTCAGAACAAACCTTCATATCTCCAAAATGATAACTTTACAAAAGAACAGAAAAGCATTTCCAACTTACAATGGAAGTTAATGTGACAAGGTTTTTTTTCTAAGTAATTATATACCATTTTATTGGTCTGTTCATCATTAAATGTGAATACAGTGCAGAAGGTCGCTTGAATTTTTAAAAGATGCAAAAAAAAAGACAAAAATGGAGAAAAAGTTTTAAACAACAGTGACAAAATGCTCAAAACCCGAATAAAATCTCAGTTAACTTTAATGCCACAATTGTTATTCATTTCCCTCATTTTCGCTCCCACTCAGATGACGACAAAGCCGCATCCGCTGGAGGAGCAAATGGATTCATCGCCCCTGTGGTGAAATCCCGGACTCTGGGTTCGGACATCAACTACGACCCCAGCGAGCAGGATCCAAAGTGGGAATTTGACCTGCGGAAAGCGAGCGGGGTCATCGGGGGCAGCCCCGGCATGAAACGACGAGGGACTTTAAATACCTCATCTTCATCTCTTCCTCCTTCTTCCTCCTCTTCATCTTCCCCGCTGCAGAGAGCTCTTCCCGAACAGCTGAAGGTGTTCAAAGGTGACGACCTGGGCGCCTGCCAGCCCACATCTCCCAAAAACCGACGGATGCTGTACTCCGGCTCGGCCCACAACGGCTCCTCTAGGCCGTCGTTTCCAGGGAGCCTTTTCCCGCTGGAGTCGTCACCGCGTCATCAGCGCAAGGCCCTGAACATCTCTGAGCCATTCGCGGTGTCCGTGCCGCTGCGCGTGTCCGCCGTCATCAGCTCCAACAGCACCCCCTGCAGGGCGCCGGGGAAAGAGCGGGATCGTTCTTTGGGAGAACGTTCTTTTCTGAAACCTCGAGAGGCCGGACCCCCAGAGCCCCACCGCAGCGAGAGCCTGGGCAGCACTGGCTTCAGAGAGTTGGTTCCCAGCAGCACGGGAAGTTTCGGTTTCCGAGACAGGGACAGAGCGCTGGGGGGAAGCGCTGGGAGCATTGGGTACAGAGAGTTCCCTCTCAGTGACAGCAGTGGAAGCAGTGGATACAGTATCTATAGCAACAGCAGTTCTGTCCCCATGGAGAAGGAGGAGAGTCAAACAGTGGAGAGGGGCACCAGGGAGGTCCCCCCTGACAAAGTGGCAGAGAGTAAGATGCTTGGAGTGTGTGTGAGCGTGCGGCTGCAGATGTGTGCAAGCGCTAATCTGACGCTTACTGATAATGTTTTTACGATGCTTATTCCTATTCCAAAATTGATTTCTTTCACTGTAATGAGCTTTTTGCAAGCCTACTGCCTATGAGGCCCTACAGTAAACAACATTTGTTGTTTCAAAGATTACGAAAACATTTGCTGAAAGCATTTGTGGAAAAATACAACTCAAACAAGCACATAAGATTTCCAATAGCCTTAAACAAATCTTCATGTCCACATCGAACGGTTGAGAATGCAGAGCTCATTGCTAATGACAGTGTTTTCCTTTCTCTGTCCTCTGTTTTAGGCAGGGATGCAGAAGTGAAGGAACTACTTGCAAATGTGGAAGTGCCTGACAACTTGATGTCTTCTCAGCTGAAAGCTACAGAGACTCATGAAATGTCTCAATCCTCTGGGAAAGAACTGGACACCAAACCAGTACAGCTCAATGAGCCCAAAAAGCTGGACCAACTGGTAAGAGTGCTAATGACGACTTCAGAGTAACACAGAAGAAATTCACTTATTTCAATTCTATAGTCTTAAATGTGCTGAAATTGTGACTGTAGTGCCACACAATTCCTAAAAAGCACATAGTCTATTCTTTTCTATTTAGGGATGCACTGAAATTTTGGCAACCATAAACTTTAGGGTTAAAAATGGTTAAAAATGCCACAAAATCTCCTAAAAGTTTGATCGTAAATTAAAGAAGCCTACAACAAAGTGTCAAAATCTAAGACTAAATCATTTGCTAATGAAAATGAAAAATAGTTATTTAAAACATTGTTTATTCCTGCCATCTTTTGCATTTAAACAGTTTGAGCAGCAGCAGATCAACAGTGAACATGGTGGTCGGGTGGAACTATTTCATGGTTTCTCTGAAAGACATTGGTCAAGAGAACTATAATATCTGTTCATGACAAGTATCATGTGAGGGTACAACACCCAAAAATGTCCTCACTACAGGTTTGATATGCAGAATATCCTACAGCAATACAATAAAAACAGAATAGAGAAGTCCCCGCTAGCTCGCCAACACGATATGTAGAAAAAATGGATGCAAAGTTTATCTACAAAAATGGAATCCATTGCTTTAGATAACCAACCATTCTCTAATGTGGAGGACATTTCAGCCTTTTTCAGTTTTTGGCCCAATATGACCTGAATTTCGGTTTTGGCCAAAGGTTTTCATTTTGGTGCATCACTAATTCTATTCTATTCTATTTTATTCTGTTCTATTATGTTGAATGTCAGATAGTCATGTTACCAAACCTGTTGACGTGCACTCCTTCCATATTCTTTTCAATATTACAATACCATTACAGTCAATGTGATTGTAATCAATGCCATACAGTTATTTGTTTTATACTTTTTATTTTTTGCTATATTTTGTTTCGTTCTAATACTCAGAAGCAGCGAACACTGAATACTATGTAATATTACCCAATATATCAAAACTTCAGCACCCCAATCTAAACTAACATCCCTTTTGTTGCATTGCACAGGACATTGTGTCAAACAATCAGGAGCCGTGGCCTAATTTGCATCATGAGCTCCGGATCACAGAGCCTGAAACAAACATACTGGAAGATCAGCTTAAAGCCAGTGGCTCTATGACCAGAATCACTGGAAATGATGGTGCTCTCAATTTTAATGCTCAAGCTAAAAGAAGAAGCAGTTTACCTACTCAGCCCGTATCGTCAAAGGGACACTTCACAGACATTGCAAAAGGTTTGCTGATGGATCAGGCAGGTGCTACTGTTTTTAATGCAATGCTGGGGCCTTCGCCAGAAAGATCATCAAGGAATGACACTGGTTGGAATTACCTTGACAGCAGTGAGGTTAAAAAGGATCACAAGAGCTTGGATTCTTTTGAGTCGCTGGACATAATGGCAAACAAGCTGCAACTCTCACCATTCTTTCATTTAAAGGAGACAGATATTCTTCAAGATACTGAGCCATGGCCTTCCAGTGAAGATACTTGTATTAATTCAGTGAAACAAAATGAAGTCATCATTACGGGAGAGTCTTCTGGTCCTAGTGGTGGTATCGAACCATGTCGTAAAAACCCTGCAGACAGAAGTGTACACTTACCAAAGGAGGATAGCCACGAAAAGGACAAGAAGAAGACTAACAGTATTAGTGTTGATCTAACAGCCAAAGTAAAGGGAAGTATGGAGAGGCTCTCGGAATGCTTGGATGAAAGACGTCTCACTGCCGAAATTTCACATCAAGATGATGAGGACATGTGGGGGAGTCATTTGGCTGGATTGGATCAGGTGGAACCCTGGGAGGACTTGAGCACCACCAAACAGTGGGTGACTAGCCCCCTGCACTCACCAAAACTGGAAGATCTTTTCCCCATGCTTAAAACATCAGTGCCGGTTCCAGTAACGCAAAGAAAAGCATCTGGAGAGCTTAACATCGATCCTTTGCAAAAAGAAAAGAAGGTTGTAAAGGAAGAACCTCTATCAGGGAACATCACAGTTTCACCAGAAGAAAATACTGCTAAGACCAGAGAATCTGACCCTGCACCTATTAGTCCTTCTGCCAAAGCCACAGAGGCAGATGTGGATGAATGTAGTCTTGTAAAGATAACAGAGCTTGTTCTTGGTGCTGACTTTGAAGGAATCGGAGAGAAAGCTGAGTCTAAACCTGAAACCTCACAGCTTGCACCATTCAAGACCACCACCCACCAGGAGGAGACTACCAGAATGCCAAAGAGAAACATCGGTGCCCCAAAACAGAAAAGTTCTGTCTCTTCCCAAAGATTTCACAGACAAATATCCCATGAGCCCTGCATTGCAGAAAGAAACGAGGAAAATATTGCTCCAAAACACAGACCATATTCCCTAAATCTGGATCTGGGACACCGGTGCATCAGGGACATCTCAAACCGGCAGAACCTTGACCTCGCAGATGGTTCCTGTTCACAAAGGGGGTCAGTAACACCTTCTGGGACAAAGTATGATGGGTTGTCTCTGGAATTGGAGATGTTCCTGAAGGATCGGCAAGCACCCATGCGACGCAACTCCGCTCCAGTCAGTGTGTCTTCCGTGCGCACCGCATTCATGATCAAGACATGTCAAGCAAAAGCTGTGCCTGTTATACCTCCCAAGATTCAGTACAGCCACATACCCCATCCAGTTCTTGAGAAGGGGTCAGGGGATCAGGAAAAAAGAAGTGGATCTGAAAGGGAACCTGAGAAGGCCAAGGTAGAGAAAGCAGATTCTGTAGCTCCTCTCCAGGTAGTAAAAGATTGCAAAGAGGAAAGGGAAAACTGCGAACCAGTCACAAGGATCCAAAGGCAGGCATCCATCGAAAGACCTACAGAAACTTGTAAGCCAGTACCTACCCCCGATCTCCCAGTCTTGAGAAGGAAGCGGTCTGCCAACGGGGACTCCTTCATGGACTGTCCAAGACCAGAACGATCCACCTTGCTTCAAAGATCTTCCTTCCGGAATCGGCCAAGGCCTCAAAGCCTTATTCTCTTCAGCCCTCCCTTCCCTATCATGGACTACCATCCGGTGGGGGAAGATGGCAAACTTGTCCTGTCACCCATCAAGAGTCCTACTGAAACCTCACCACTTGATGTCTTCACTAAAGAACTAGCAGAAAACCTTAAAACACCGGAGGGGGTCACCCTACGAAACAAAATGACTTTGCCCAAGAGTGGACAGAGGCTGGAGACCTCTACCAGTTGCTTTTACCAGCCCCAGAGAAGGTCTATGATTTTTGACAGCAGGAGTAACCGGCAGATCGAGTGAGCTGTCCATTGTACTTGTGAATAACATTCACATCATGGCCAGGATGCATCAGCATCTAACTACTGAGTGTGATGTTGGTTTGTCATTATTCATAGTGACTAAACATTCTTGAATTGCAAGTTCTAGACATGATAAATACAGAACTTTAAGTATCAGGCTTGGGTGTAAAATGCTGCTGCTAGTAGAGAATGTCACAAGAGGCCACTTCTACCCTCTATAAAAGCGTGAAAGCGTTTTAGGAATGCAGCATTAAAAGCCTTTACATTTTTTTGTTCTTATGAACCTGAAGTGCCAAAGATGTTTCACTGCAATCAGATGTATGCAGAAATTTTACATAACACAAATAATCCCCATGGGTTGTTTTTTTTCTTATCAGACATCCAAATAGCATTAAAACCTGCAATGTGAGTATTTCATTTCCATTTCATATCAATTTCAGGGATTGTTGTCTGGGATCCAAAATGCAATTGAATTACTTTTAAACAAATGGGCTCTGCAGGTTATTACCTTGAATGACAAACTTCGCCTACGAAAAGGCAGAAACACATCTACCTATAGTATTATGTCAAGTCTATGTTTTAAGAGAGAAAAAAGGGGAGAAAAAAAAATTAAAAGCCATTTAATTTGTTATTTAGCTTAAATTTCTTTTCCTTTCTTCCTCATTTCTGCTAAGCTGAAAAAATGTATTTCCTTTTTTTTCTTATTTCTGTTTCCAGTGTTGTATATATCAAATGTGCCCACCAAATATCCAGTGTTATAAGTACTGAATGTTTTGATGTGCTGATGCACAATAGTTACACATATAGATAGATTAAGATGCATTAACTTGCACCTGGCCTGATTCAAAGTACTGATTTACACTTGTTAGAATTTGAGTTACTGTTATTACTGCTGCTTGGAATCTTCCATTTGCAAGATGTATTAAAAGTGGAGCTTTAATTTAAAGGATGCCATGCCATTCAACTTCTAAATATGTGTCATCGTTCAAAACTCTATGATGATTTGATTGTACAAAAACTGCCTGGAAATTCAACCAACGTATTTATTTATGCAATTTATGTCTAATGACGTTGCCAGTTTGTTGTATAAAACAACTCATTTGTCATTACAAGTAAAAGTGTACATTTTGATACATGATATTCAGGCATTTTCTGCTGATGCCGAAGTCCTGTGGTCCTTTTGTAGAGAACAGAAACGCTTGCTTTTACATAGTATAAGAAAATAAGTAGGGCTTCTACTGTGATAAAGGTTTTTAGGTTTGGTTGGTTGGTGTCAAAGTATTTTCAGATGTTTTTGGGCAGAAAATGAACGACGGACCATTAAAGATCTAAAACGTGGGAACAGCAAGGTTGAAGAAAGTTGAAGAGAGGGAGAGAGAAAGCACACGTGTTCTCCAGAAATGTACATTATATATATGTAATCTTGTATTGAGACAAAGAAAAGAAATTGTATGTTGTTCATAACTGTAACCAAAGAACACTAACTTTGTAATCTATTTTTTTTTGTATCGCTCAAAGTGGATTTATTATTATATGCACCCAATGTATCAAAACCAATAAATATACTTAATATGTACTGTATAAATGTGTCCCTGTGTTGGATATAAAGGTAAATATAAAGCAGCGCATGGCGCATTTAAAACACTGTGGTCCAAGGAGATAATACAGAACAATAGCTCGTTATTTGCAGTTGTATTAAGTTGAGATCTAATCATTACTCTATTTGTGCATTAATGCTGCCTAAATGCGCATGAATGGTGTTTTGCAAACACTGAGATGACAATGAAACAAAAAAAAAAACAGGCAAACTTCCAAATCAATCAAATGTAAATCTCCAATGGACATTCAATTAAGCGCTGACAGCTTTGATAAGACAAATCATTAAAAAGTCCAAATGCATATCCAACTCATTTGCGAGCAACAATGACTACTGAGCTTTATTGAGATTTATAATAATTCTACATACAAAACAGATCGTCAAACTGTCATTCAGACCCGATTCTAACCCCACGCACCAAACTACGTTTTTCGTTCGTGCTTAATCCACCAGGGCTGACAGACGTGTCTCTGTTTTAGCCCCATGTTTTTTGGCTCCCCTTAAATCAGAGAGAAAGGATGTACTTAACCGGGCTTTATGTGTCACAGCTGAAACAGCAGATGCGGCTTCAAAGCCAAGGATGATGACCAGAGTGATACACTGAAAGAAGAACCTACTACAAACAAAGACTTCCTTTACTTTTGCAGCCAAAAACCCTCATGCAAATTTGAATACAGTGTGGGAGCCAGCTTTTTTTTCCCTTTTCATGGCAAACGTACCGCCAGTTTCTTACTACAAAACTACTTTCATCATACTCAGAGAATAGATCTGTTTTTTCCCTCCACCTGGATGCCAAATTCATCCACCCAACTGCAATAAAACACACGCAAAAATACATCTTGGCTGTAGAGTTACATCCTGTGAATGTACCTTTTCCCTATTACTTTGCGCTCTGGCTCAAAAATGATATTGAAGCATGGTCTACTTGCAACAAGTGCTATTTGGCCTCTTTGATCCGCTCACAAATAGGCCTCATATTTCTCAAATATGGTTGTGCAAAGTCACAAAACGTGATGGGATGCAAATATGAAAAAATGACAGTATGCAAAAATATGAGCACGGTCTTTATTGTGTCCAATTCCTGAGAAACCTATTCAGGTTTCTCAGCTTTAACGCTGGACTCATCCCGAGATCTAATCTTCTCCTGGACCTAGACAGACAGTAAAAACAATTGGTTCGCCCCAAAAATAGGGTTTCTACACAAATTAAAAGGCCTACGATATGCAATACTGACTACACAATGTGCAATATCAAAAGGCCTACAATATTCAATATTCATAAAGAAATCAAACAAATAAAACACACCATGCAGCTTACGCCTCTCAGTACAGCCCAGAATAATTCAGGATGTCAGTCATGTCTTATAAACATCCGGTAAATGGATTACACACATGGTCAGTCTATCAGGCACAGAACTAAGCCCAGTCCTGCACTAAATTACAGGGCTGGGGCGGATTTTTCATTGCAAAATGCTTTTTAATCTAAGACAAGGCTGCATGTCTGTGAAATGCGTAACACGCCCACAGCGCTAACACATTCCTTTATTCATTTATGTCCAATTTAACAAAAAAAAAATGTACCTGCTCAAAAATAAACTGCAGGGGGTCATCTGGCATGTCATAAACCAGCTTCTCTGTGATTTCCTGACAAGCAGACAAAAGAGAAAATGAGCCGAGCTCTGGCTGAGGCCTGCACTGCTCGTACTGCCAACCTATTTAGCGCTGTCCTGACCTCTTCCTGCCTCTTGTGCGACTGTCCTAGTGCTGGACGGTATAGATAAAATTCAGTATCATGATAATTAATGCCAATTTACACATGATCAAATACTGTCGTGCTATGATATATTGGAGAATGTATAAAAAAATTAAATTAAATATCATGATATTTTTGCACATAGCACAACCTCGTAGTATTTAATAATATGTAAGTTAGCATTAAGTTGATGACCACATGCTTCCTGAGTGCAGCTGCTGTCTTAAAAATATGACACAACTCATTTTGTTCTGTTTTCTTCTCTTAAAAACACATCAAAGACAACCTTACATGGTACTGTAAATGCAAACCAGGCTTTTTCAGAAAAAGGAAACTTATATTTATTTCAATTTTATGGAAACTTTTTTTTTAGAATCTGAAGCAGCCAGTAAGTCTAAATGGCACAAGGCAGGTCCTGAAAACCATAAATAGATAGAAAATTGAATTAAAAACTAAAACACAACAGGAAGACTGCAGTTTAGTTGTGGATATAATGCTCATCTATCATATATGTCAACATATATTGGTATAAGCAGTATATTACCTTAACTTACTGTCTCTAGATTTGATTCATATTTATTTTCTAATCATAAAAAATAGCTTAATTAAGCTTTTGTATGATTAGTTTGTCAAATTAATGAATCCAGACATACACATACGGAAATCTGATACGTGGCCATAAATGCACATATATCATACAGAGCATATATTTTAAAACACATATATATAAGTTTCAACCATTGGTTGAAATGGATGTTAATGCATTGTATATGGATCATATGTACATATACGTATGATATTTGTGTGAATACATACATGCATAAAATACAGATCACACATGTACTATATATCTAGTGTATATCTGATACAGACACAGACACACTTTTTAAAGCATTAAAATTCAAATCAAATACAAAAAACTTATATGACATGAAGCTAGCACATATCAGTGATATATTCCATCCATATATGAATAATGTTTTATATTTTTACACATATATGTTTGTATTTGGTGATATATGGCTGACATTTATGTCCCAGCCAGTTTCAAATTAGTTGGCATGCATGTTACATGTATGTCCATATGTGACAAAATCTAATTTAGACACAAGGGAAGTTCATATATGTTAATATATGTCATATTTTTGACATCCATACATTGCTTATATAAAAATAATAAACATAACTGCTGCTACATTATACTGGACACATTGCGCAATACTGTTGTATTCACATATGTTAATAGCATAAGACTCTATTCTGTTTATATCTCATTCCATCTTTATTTAAAATTTTCTCTTATTTTTTCATTTGTATTATACATAAGTAGTGCTGAGCTGACCTGTTTCTCTCGTCCAACACACTCCACTGCACCATTGACCCTGTGTTAACCTACATATGACTAACAAATAAACTGAACTGCCACAGATCAGATTTCTGTATGTGTGATTTCAGTGTAATATATGGACAGAGCACATGGTAAAGCAGTTGGTGACCACTGCAAACTCTGTAGCTTTCCTCTTGACTCTTTTCCAAAAACAGCATTGAAGTAAATATTAAGAACCGTCGTAAATCATCATCTTTTCTTACCTGGAATATCTGGAGGATACAGTGGCTTTCCATATATCTTACACATCTGTCATAAGGGTCCATGTAGGCCTCTGAGGGACGCATGGTTTTGTCCGTAGTTTCTGTTTTGAGCACTTTTTCTCTCGTGTCTGAATCCTCCATGTCAGAAAGCTCAACGTTACGTTACAGGTCTTTGTTATTGTCTGAGGAAAGACTAAAAGTGCAGAAAAAATGATCAAAACTAGGCCCGAGCAGGCAAAACAACACGGTCTCTCAACAGTTCAGTGTTTTTTTTTTTACCTTTTAGACGACTTTGTTGGGTTTAGGTCTGAATTAAAAGCAAAAAACTCACAAAAAAACTAGATTAACTCAGTGTCCTCAGTTTGGCTTCTGAGGGGTTTGTTTTATCGTCTGAAATGTCATCCCGTCACCCCTGGCAACCGTACGCGAGAGACTCGGGTGACGTCACCGCCGTTATGAGACACAATAGCGGCGAGTGAATTTGGGCGAGTTTTTTTTTTTCCCCCCGCACCCGTATTCCTACAAGCCACGCCCTGGTGCGCTGTGAGTGGCTAATACGCACCGGCCTCCTGCGCTGGGATTGGTTGGTGTCCTCACCAGCAGCCCGCCATTCTAAACGGCGAAAGCGCTGGCCAATGCTAGCGCACGAGGGGCGGGAATAGAACGTTGGCGTGTAGACGAACCACTAGCCAATCCTGGAGGAGGAGAGGCGGGACTTGGCTTAATACGGGTGCGAAAAAATAAATAGCCCTGTCCAAAACCCGTCCTGTGAGGATTCACGTCGAGTGTGATGAGGGCATTCTTAGCTGTTTCGATGAAGCCCTGGCTGCGTGGAATTTAGTATAAAGTTTTAAAAAATACATATTTTCCTACAAATATCTTTTTTTTTTTAATTCTGCGAGACAGTGAGTTAATATACTACACATATAAAATAGACTCCGTTCCTCAAGGGTTCTGTAGTAAAGGGAATGGTTCTGTTTAGGACCTCGAACACTCAAAGAACCATTTACATGCTAAATTGCATGGTGAAATTGTTCTTCAGGTTGACGGATTGATGGCGTAAACAGCACCAAAAAGGGTTCTGCTATGGTACGCAAGCATCGTAACAACAGTAGAACCCTTTTTGGTGCTATATAGAACCACGTATCAATCTAAAGAACCATTTTACCATGCAAACAGAACCACTGCCTTTACTAAACAACCACTGAAGGAGCATATTTTGTAAGAGCGTACTATAACATAGCCTCATATAGTATAATATAATATAATATAATATAATATAATATAATGTAATATAATATACTGTAGGCGTGTTTATTATGGTGTTATGATGAAAGGCAACCGCACATTTCCAAACAGCTATAAAAGAGTAGGAAGTCTTGGCCTGATTATTAAATATGCGTGTAGTTTAGCCTATATTGTTGTTTATTTTGGGAAGCGATATGTATGAAGCGCTTTTCGATGGAAAGTGTTTTTATGGAACGCCGCACTGAGATCACAGAAGGGGAACGAGGCGAAAACATCGCCGTTTTCTGGGTTGCCGGTCGTCCTCAGCTGACATCACGGCCTACAGCGCCTGCACGTTATGTAGGGCAGACGGTGCTCGTGTCCCTCCGTGAACCCAGGCTGGGGAGGAGGGGAAAAAAACAGAAGAAATAAATAAATAAAGATAAATAAATAAATAATAAGACGTTGCTATTCGCGCGTCGTGCCGACAGGGGGCGCTCACAATCAAGGAACCAGCTGTGAGCAAAACCGGAAAGGCGGGATAAAATGATCACGAAAAGAACCCAAACCAAAAAAAAAACAGAGCGCGATTGTTTCTCTTATTTATTATTGTGGGTCAAGGTCAAACGAGCATTGTGCGTAAATAAGTTTACTGTGCCTTCGTATTTCTTTACAAGCAGAAGTTACCGTCTCGTTCGAACTTTCCGTTCCACCTTAAACGGCGCAGCAGTTCCATGTAACTGCTGCGCCGTTTAAGGTGGAGCGGAAAGTTCGAACGGGAGGCTGGCCGAACGGGACGCCAACTCATCCTCAGTGGTGTTTAAAGGTGGGCTGATGTTCCAGCGTTGCTCTAGATCCAGATTTGAGGCGTGTTTTGAAGAGGTGAACGATTACAAATGTACATTTTTGAATTATTCCTCGTCTAGACTGCACGCACACCTGTCACTGTCTAGACAAGGGGGGGGCGGAGTGTGTGTGTGTGTGTGTGTGTGTGTGTGTGTTGTGGGGGGGGTTGGGGTAGAAAGGGTCTCGACCACTATTGCATTATGTTGTGTCAGTCACAACCACTCTGTGAAGGGAAGGAGAGGGAGGACTCCTTAAAAAAGATGGTTCATCAAGGGTTCTTTAGTAACCCAGAACCGTTAGAACCACTTGCATGCTTAACTGGTTCCCTGCATGGTGAAGTGGTACTTCAGACCGACGGAGAATGTCCTGTGTGGTTCTATACAGCACCAAAAAGAGGTTCTCCTACACTCTTAAAAAAAATACGGTTCTTTAGGTTCTGTTTAGGACCATTTGCATGCTTAAACGGTTCTTTGCGTGGTGAAGACGGAGAATGTTTTGTATATGGTTCTATATGGAACCTTGTTGAGAATGAGTCTAAGGGGAATGGTTCTATTTACCATTCCCCATTTGCAGGTTAAATGGTTCTTTGCATGGTGAAATGGTTCGGATTGATGGATGAGTGTTGTGTAATATGGTTCTATGTAGAACCTTTTTGAAAATGATTCACTTACTGATATCAGGCTTGGAACCCAAAAAAAAAGGTTCCACATGGAACATACAGCGCATTCTGTGTCAGTTTGAAGAACCGACATGCAAAGCACGCAAATGGTTCTAGTGGTTCTAAATAGAACTATATATATATATATATATATATATATATATATATATATATATATATATACACGAAAGAGTGACACATATGTATATATATATATACACACATACATACACGAAAAAAGTTCAGCGCCTCTTCTCTCAATCTGATTGGTCGAGCAGACCGCCAGCCCTCTTCTTACGTTGCCTCCTTGAGGTCAGTTAGGGACGGTTTAAGGGGAAAAAAAATAAATAAATAAATGAGAAAATAGAAATGCGTAGAAAGTAAAAAGGCTCGGCGCGAGCAGACTAGCTTGTTGGCTCTCAGTGGAGAGTGACAGGCACCGCTGTGGCCCAATGTGCGCGTGGGATGGGTCTCAGTGACGCAGGCCTGGGCCAATCTAAAGTAACTATGACACGATAGACGTGTTCTAATGCTCAGACGTCTGACCACCAACATCCTCCCCTCCCTCCCTCCCCTGAATGGGACAGATGGGACTTGAGGGGAGTTTGCTCAGCGTTTACCATCCATATGCACGCATATGCATTGCTCTACTTTCTGTGATGATGAGTGTGTGACGTCAGTGGGCTGGCGAGGTTGTGGAGTGATCTGGTGGAGGTGTTTTGGAGGGGGGGGCTAAAGATGCACGGTTCAGACACAACAACCTGCGTGTAAAGAGGAGGGGGGGTGGTTTCGCTTTCAGAGCCCACAATGGAGGCAGTTTCCTTCCAACCGCCCCCCCCCCAAAAAAATAATAAATAAATAATAAAAATAAAAAAATAAAAAAAGAGGAGGGCGTGCGGCTCCGCGATTGGGGCAGACTGACCGTGAACGATCTCTGTGCCAGCCTACGCGCGTCAAGAGGAGCCCCGCGCTCTCCCAATCGCCTGTGGAAAGGCGTGGCCGCCTCGGCCCCTCCGACGAATGGTGGGAAAAAATGGGAGGGCGCCGCCGGACTCGGGCTTTTGAGGTCCCTCTCTCCGAAGGAAGGTAGGCTGCAGCGTGTGTGTTTATTGATGAGATGAAAGAAGAAGATGGAAGTGAGACGTGAAGCAAAGTGAGGGAAAATATTTAAAAAAAAAAAGAAAAGAAGAAAAAAAAAGAGAAAAAAAATAACCCAAAAAAACTCAAGCTCGGTCGTAAGAAGAGGAGGAGGGAGAGAGAGAGAGAGAGAGGGAGAGAGTGAGAGAGAGAGAGAGAGAGAGAGAGAGAGGAGAGGTGGAAAAAAAAAAACAAAACAAACCGGAGAAGCTGTGAAACGCTGTGGGCCAGTCTCTTTAGGAGCGAGCAGGTAAGAAATAAGACATTGAAGAGAAGCAGGAGGAGAAGGAGGAGGAGGAGAAGGAGAAGGAGGAGGAGGAGGAGGAGGAAGGCTGCTTAATGCTACTACTATCTGTCTGTGCTATTTATAAGAAGAGTGATAGCAGTTAACGTTAGCTAGAACGCGCGGTGGACACGGATAGAGATTCTTCTTTTTTTTGGAGAGAAACTTGTCACTTGTTTTTTTTTGAAAGAGAAAGAGGGGAGAAAGAGGAGTGGACAGGGCTCGTGCACTTCTCAAAGCGGACTGACTGAAGTGAAGTGACGTCTCAGGTAAAAAAAAAAGGAAAGAAAAAGGCACTCTCTCTTCTCTCGCTCGGTTTTCCGAGCACTTTTTGGCTAGTTTTCTCAGCGCTGGAGGAGTTTTCGGCGCCGCGCGTAATACTGTAGGCTGACGTTTGCGCACTGTGTTTTTCGGGCTCGCGAGCAGGAGAAGAAGGAGAAGAAGAAGGGAGAAGGAGGAGAGGAAGGCAGGGGAGGCAGGGGAGGCAGGGACTCCCCTGTACAACCAGCCAAAATAGATTTGGGAGAATAAAGCTCCGCTCAGGCTCTGCGTAAAAGCCGCGGAGACGAGGCGCGTCTCGCCGTTTTTAAAGCAACTGCAAATTGGGTTTGAACTCAGCCATCTTGCGAGATACATGTGTATGTTTTATTTTGGCATGTTTGAGAGCGCGCGCGTGCTCGAGCCGTGCCTAAATCGCCATTTAATCCCGAAAGATTTCCCCCAAAAACTGGGGGTAAATACGCTGCCGCTGCTGCTGCTTTGTGCCTGTGAATTTAATAGGAAAAGTGGGCAGCTGTTGTGCCCTCGCGCTGCGTGTGTGTCTGTGGCCGTATTAAGTGTCTTGTTAGCCATTCGGTCCTCTCCAAAATTACGAACAGCCCCCAGATACGAAGGCAGAAAAGTCCTCGGCAGGCTGGTCTGGTCTGGCTGAAATGCTGAAAGACAGAGAGGTCCAATTTTATGTGTGTGGTTTTTATTTATTTATTTATTTTGGGTGCCCTCTTTTTTTTTGGGTAGACAAAATGCCCGTTTGCCCGTGACGCCCAGCCTCCATGTCCCACCTAAACAGCTAAACATTGGGGAAAGCATTTTTTTTCCCCCCATTTTTCTCTGCAAGTGAAAAGTGTGGTCAGTGTTTTGAAAGCTAGAGCTGACCATGCTCACATGAGCTTTGCCCACTCATTTAGCCTTTACCCTTCTCTCCTGCATTTCCTTCAGCATGCCCATATTAAAATGTGCTTCCAAACAGAGCCGGCTTTGCCAAAAAAAGGCTTTTGGCTTAGTCACGTTAGTCACGTTTTCTCCCCTCTCTCCTTTTTCAGGTTTACAGACTTTTTTTTTTTCTTGTATTTTTCCTATTGAGCTTGTTCATTTCAGGCCAGCTTAGTTTGTCCCCCCCACCCCCTTTTTTGTAATTTTTTGGAGATTGCCAGGCTTAAATGGAGCTGGATTAGATGTTGACCTGCCAAACATGCGCCTATATGACCTTGGAACTTTTGTATTGACTCACTAGGCTGAAGCACAGCCATGCATTCAGATCCAGCTTAGATTACACTAAATCTAGTCCTTTGTTTTTTCTGGATGGAGTGGTGCGGTGTCCTGAGTGGCTGGTACACGAATGAGATTTGGGTTGTTGTTGTTGTTGTCGTTGTTAGTGTCATTAATTGCCAACAGTCCTGCTATCAAATTTCCATCCGCACTAAAACTCCATTCCTGACTAGGCCTCGACTCCACATTAAGGGTCAGCGCAGGTCAAGCTGGAGCATCTGACCGCTGCACTTCATTCTGAAGCCTGGAGCCTTCAAATGCTCTCACTTAGGCTTCTCTGAAAAAAAAAGAAAAGAAAAAAAAACTTCCACCGAGTTTGTAGCATTCATTTCTCTCTCCTGCAAACTGGCATGTTTTTCTGGCCTGCTGGATGCGCGCGCCTTTCGCGTTTAGGTGGAAGGTCAGGCTTGCGCTCCGTGCCCATAAAACACAGCAACACCCCCCAGATCGATATTTTCTTGGCACTATTACGAATTGCATATATTCAATATTCCGGAGCAGATAATCATGCTGCTGCAGTTTCTGGTTTTCTCAGTAGTTTGAGCTGCTTTCCAACATGCCAGCCAGTAATTGATATTTTGCACAGGCTGTTGAGGACAATGAAGATTATGACTTTGATTTTTACAAACATAGTATGTCCATATCGTGTTAATAATTTGAGATTAATAATATTTGCATACAACACCTTTACAAGGTACAGGAAGCATTTCATATATAGAAATATATTGTTGCTGCCGGAAAACAGTTGAAACAGTTAAAAAATGGTAACTTTACAGGAGAAGGAAAAAACGTTCTTCACTTTGAATGGGAGGTAATGGAACCAGATTTTTTTCCCTGTAATTTTGGATAATTTCTGATGGTCCATTCATCATTCCATGTTAACACAACGCGAAGAGCAACTAGCATTTTTTAATTTTGTGAAAAAAAGTAATTGTATGTATATGTGTGTATATAAGTTGATGTGTGTGAATATACGTATCATATATGTATTGTATTATATATAATATATATATATATATATTGGGTGCATATATATATATATATATATATATTATATATATGTATATATATATATATTATACATATATGTGTATCTACTTACATATATATATATATATATATATATACACACACATACATATATAAATGTATGCATGTATACATACATATACATACATATATATATATATATACATATATATATATATATATATATACACATATATATATGTATGCATGTATATACACACGTGTATACATTTTGATTTTTGATTTTTTTCAGTCTGTGTTTGAAGTGAAAATTGGAGTTTTTCCTGTTTCTTTTCCCTGACCTTTGTATTCCTCATCTTGAATCATGACCATATTTGTTTTTTGTTTTTAACTCCATCCGAGTTTATTTTTTTCCTCTTTTTTTGGAATGAGTTTAAATATCTACCGAAATTGCCTTCAGTTTCGGAGTTGAAGCTTCTTGTGCCAGCTTTTGGGAAAGGGGCGTGTGTGTGTGAGTGTGTGAGAGTGTGTGCATGTGTGTATTGCCTTCTCGAAGCTGTAGGCCATGTCGATGTAACATTGTGCAAGAACGCTGTAGACACAGATTTCACGTGAGCAAAACTAAAAATACACATCAAAACCCCAAAACACACATTTTGTTGACTTTGGCACGTGGAGTGTAAATGCGCTGATGACAGAGTTCCGAAGTTTCACTCCTCTAAATTTACTTTAGCTGATTTCTTCTTACTTTTTAACCTGTTCATGCTCAGAAACATGATATTTCTTCTGTTTTTGTTGTAGAGTTAACTATTACACCTACTCAGTATTCAGAACCACTCACTTCTGTTCTCAGTGTATATATATGCCTATATTTATATTAATGCATGTACTACAAGCATTCTAGCAGGAAAGTGCTTAACCTTACATATTAAAGTCTATGAAATGATCTAAATGTTAAAAAAAAGTCTAAGTCAAGAAAAGTACTGTTATCTAAAAAAACATCAGGTGTATGCACAGTGTCATTATATCTCCCCTAAAAACGTCAGTAATCTTATTGTTTTTCCTATTTGCGTACAAATTCGTGTATCAGCATTTGCAAGGTCATTTGTTGATGGCAGCATTGATATCAGTTATTTGTTTATGGATTTTGATAAATAGATTAACTCTTATCACACGTTAAGTATTGTTGTTCCTTTACAGCAGGTCATGTTTAGTATTACACCTCACATATTTACATGTTAAAGAGTTTTACTTCTAGTGTGTTATGCTGTACGTATAAGACTATTTTTAACAGAAATCTTAGAATTTAATAAAAATTAGAAAAATAGAATTTTATTTTTTAGGTTTACCCTAACTGTGGCGAACACCTCTTTCAGTTCAGGACTGACTCTTGATTACAGCCAAATATTATTTATTGCTTTGCACAGTTCAAACAACCTATTTATTAGATATTCATATACATTGTCTTTTTTTTCTCCATTTAAGACAAAATGCCAGCTGCCCTTAAAATTGGGCACAAATTTAATGATGAAAAGCCCAAACTTACTTTATAATATCTAAAAAAAAAACTATCAAATCTTTTTCAATTAACATATTTGTAAGTTAAGAATGTTTTTCCTACAATTACATTTAGAAATGTAACTATGTAACATTCTAGAAATGTAATTACTTAATGGGGTAAAAGTTGCAATACAATATTACATTGAAAATGTGACTACTGAACATTATAAAATGCCACTATTTAACATTCTATAGATGTCGTTGGATAAAGTTCTGTAAATGTAACTACTTAACATTTTAAAGTTTTAAATATATAACATTCTATAAATGTAACTACTTAACATTTTGAAAGTTTTAATGTATAACTTTCTACAAACATAACTACTGAGCATTCTATAATGTAACCATTTAACGTTCTATAAATGTAACAAGATAACATTCTATAAATGTAACTACTTAATCTAAAAGTTTAAGTATTTAACATCCTGTAAATGTAACTAGATAACATTCTATAAATGCGAGTGTGTTATATTCTGTAAATGTAACAATTCTATCAATGCAACCATTTAACATTCTACAAGTTTAAATATATAACATTGTATAAATGTAACTACTTAACATTCTATAAATGTAATTACTTAACATTGTATAAATGCAAGTGTGTTTCATTCTTTGAATGTAACAATGTAACATTCTGTAAATGTAACTCTAACATTGTATGAATGTAACTATTTAACATTCTGTTAACGTAACTGTGTAACATCCTGTAAATGTAGCTGTAACATTCTATAATTGTAACTGTTTAACATTCTATGTAATAACTATGCAATATTCTGCTGGCCTGGCACTGAGCATGGACCCTGGCTGAATCGCACACGAACAACAGAGGTGCCAAAAAAGCCCCCAAAAACAAAAAGGAGGACCATTAA